GTGTTGCGATCTTTTGCCGCTAGGGGATTTTACGAGAACAGGGAAATATGGCCGTATTAGAACAGAGGTTACGTAGGAAGATATGACAGGAGTAACCTCTGTGGGAAGAGAATGATTCACCAGTTACCCATTCAATTTTCAGGTCATTACATATTTTATCAGTAGATTAAGCTTTTGATCAAATCCAGATTTAATAAAATGCATTAATTGTGTCGATAGCGAGATATATACTCTCCTCGGTTCCATCAAGAAATAGTTCAGTATCATCAGCGTATTGATCCAGCTTATATTCCTTATCATTGATGACAATTCCTTTAATGTTTCCATTGTTTCTTATCATACAACCAAGAATCTCAGCTACAAAAAGAAAAATGTAAGGGGAAAGTGGGTCTCCCTGTCTGCATCCTCGTTCATTAGCCAAAAATTCAGAGAGATTACCATGTTGGATGACACAAGATGTTGGTTTCAAAAATCAACATATTTATCCATCTTATTATTTCAGGGCCAAATTCAAATTTATGTAAAACAAGGTTGATAAAATCTTTAGAAACAGTGTCAAAAGCTTTTTCAAAATCAATCAGAATTAGCAAGCCAGGAATGTTTTGTTTCTTTGTTTCGAACATTATGTCATATAGCAGTCTAGTATTTTCGCTAATAGTCCTACCTGGTATAAAACCAGTTTGATTACAATGAATACGATTATCTAAAGTAGCTTTTAATCCATGTGCAATACAGGAGCTGATAATTTTATAAATGGCATTGAGTAAAGTGATAGGCCTCCAGTTTTTAAGTAATGTTCTGTCTTTATTGGATTTTGGAATACAGGTGATGACACCCCTTTTCATATTTGAAGACATTTCATTCTTAGTTGATACATTTTTAACGAATCTATAAATCCATACTTTTAATTCTTTCCAAAAAACTTTAAAGAAATCAATAGGAAATCTATCAATACCTGGGCTTTTATTATTCTTCATCTTGTAAACTGCATTGCTAATTTCCTCCATACTGATTTCTTTTTCAAGATTCTACTACAGTATTTCTCGATTTTGGAATGTTTACATGCTTATAGTTCTCCAGATCAATTGTGGGGTCAAGCACTATGTTCCAGTATCCAACTATTGCTAATGAATCATTTTCACATTTTAAAATATTTTAAAATAGATTAATATAAAATTGAGGTTCATCATTATTAGGTCCATAGAGATTAGTTAGTGTTATTTTTTTTATCTTCTATTGAAATATCAGCAATAATATAATTGCCATTTTCATCTAATAAGGTCCTATGTATCTTGATATCAGTATCATTATTAAAAAGTATGGCAACACCTCTAGAATTAGATTTAAAAGGAGCTATGATGGCGGTGTGGTTGACAGAGCATCTGTCAGGAGAACAGAAAGTCGGCGGTGTAGTTGATAGAGCGTCTGTCAGGAGAGCAGGAAGTCGGCGGTGTAGTTGATAGAGCGTCTGTCAGGAGAGCCTGTGGTCGGTGTAGTTGACATAGCATCTGTCAGGAGAGCAGGAAGTCGGCGGTGTAGTTGACATAGCATCTGTTAGGAGAGCAGGAAGTCGGCGGTGTAGTTGACATAGCACCTGTCAGGAGAGCACGTGGTCATTGTAGTTGACAGAGCGTCTGTAAGGAGAGCCTGTGGTCGGTGTGGTTGACAGAGTATCTGTCAGGAGAGCCTGTGGTCGGTGTGGTTGACAGAGTATCTGTCAGGAGAGCAGGAAGTCGGCGGTGTAGTTGATAGAGCGTCTGTCAGGAGAGCACGTGGTCATTGTAGTTGACAGAGCGTCTGTCAGGAGAGCCTGTGGTCGGTGTAGTTGACATAGCATCTGTCAGGAGAGCAGAAAGTCGGCGGTGTAGTTGATAGAGCGTCTGTCAGGAGAGCTTGTGGTCGATGTAGTTGACATAGCATCTGTCAGGAGAGCAGGAAGTCGGCGGTGTAGTTGATAGAGCGTCTGTCAGGAGAGCACGTGGTCATTGTAGTTGACAGAGCGTCTGTCAGGAGAGCCTGTGGTCGGTGTGGTTGACAGAGCGTCTGTCAGGAGAGCCTGTGGTCGGTGTGGTTGACAGAGTATCTGTCAGGAGAGCAGGAAGTCGGCGGTGTAGTTGATAGAGCGTCTGTCAGGAGAGCACGTGGTCATTGTAGTTGACAGAGCTTCCGTCAGGAGAGCTTGTGGTCGGTGTAGTTGACATAGCATCTGTCAGGAGAGCAGGAAGTCGGCGGTGTAGTTGATAGAGCGTCTGTCAGGAGAGCTTGTGGTCGATGTAGTTGACATAGCATCTGTCAGGAGAGCAGGAAGTCGGCGGTGTAGTTGATAGAACGTCTGTCAGGAGAGCACGTGGTCATTGTAGTTGACAGAGCGTCTGTCAGGAGAGCCTGTGGTCGGTGTATAGGTGAAAACAATGTCTGCGAGAAGAGAAGGTCGGTTGTATAGTTGATAGCGTCTGTCAGGAGAGCAAAAAGTCGGTGGTTCAGAGGCCATGAGAGAAGAGGATTGTCGTTTCAATACGTTTAAAGATAATACTTGTGGCTTCCTTCCTGACCAGTAATCGGTTAAAAGACTGGCTGGCTCGGGACTAGTCTGCTGTGTCAATCTGTGTCTTGCAACCTCAGTAGGTCGGCACTATACACCCGACGGCAGCCCTGATCAAGATGTGTTCCCTCATGCAAAAATGCTATGTTCATTAATGTAACAATGTTATATTTCCGAATGTAACAGTGCAATATTACCGAATGTAACAATGTAATTATCCAGAATGTAACAATGTTCTCTCCAGTAACTAACAAAGTTCCATCACTGTGTGTGACAATGCTCCGTCCCTTTATGTAACGATGTTATTTTTCTTTATCTAACAACGTTCTGCCTTTTATGTAACGATCATATGACCCTTAATATAACAATGTTTTCTCTCTTAATGTAACAATTCTATACCTTATTGTTTCAACATTTGCTCCCTCAATGTAACAAAGTATTACACCGCGTGTGAGCTGGATATGTGTGGAATCTTAAGCCTATCATTTTGTCAGAACATGAGCTGTAGTTTGGATGGTGCCGCGAATTAAGAAATCATAAGGGCATAACAACATATTTTACGGACGCTTCAAAGAATTCTGTAACTAGCGCAAATACTGATCATTTCTACACCCTTGTGATCCTCCATTGGCCCTACACTGTGGGTCAGAGAGAGAGAGAGAGAGAAAGAGAGAGAGAGAGAGAGAGAGAGAGAGAGAGGGGGGAGGAAGGGAAGAGGGGATGGGGGAGAGAGAAAATGCCACCCCCACCCACCACCACCCCTTGCATATCACTACCTCCCACTACCCATATTTAGGCATGTTTTTTAAATAATTTTATGTACGAAATTGCTGAGCCCCATTACCTCCCCAGAACAAAACGGGTTCGGAGAGCGACGAGTGGTGATATGGGTTCTTTGAGGTCACGGAAAGGGACGAATGGTGATATGTGTTCTTGTAGGTCACGGAGAGGGACGAGTGGTGATATGTGTTCTTGTAGGTCACGGAAAGGGACGAGTGGTGATATGTGTTCTTGTAATACATGTGTGTTCTTCATGATACATCTGTCCTCGGTCTCAGGGTGGTTGCGTTACACCAGATCATATATTGACAGCTATATTTTGGTTTTTGTATAGCAGATGATATATCTGTGCTTGGTGCGAGGCTGGTGCAGGCAGTGTGAAGCTGGAATACAAAGGTAACCGTCTCATGCTCACAGCTCATGAGGGTCACTGAATTATCCAATGTTGTTCATCACTTATTGTTCTAGGCAAGTGTGGTCATCCATTGCAGATTAATTGTAGTATGTAGCAGTAGGCTAGACCCAGCTGTAATGGTAACCACTGTAATCTACTATACATACATTAAACAAATTCTTAAACCTACGAATTCAACATGCTGAGAAGCATATATTCTTCAGATATTGTACAAACGCAGAACGTTTAATACCCAAATCCAATGTACAGTTCATTCACATACACACGTGAAACACATGTACAGGCCACCTTAATGCGACACTGCATCGACATACTCACTGGGAGTCTTCCTGCTGTTTTATTGGTCAGAGTGTTAAGGATGATGTATTTTTTTCTCCAGTGTGGCACCAGTCTGGATCTGGAGCAGAACACACTGCTCCGTCTTGATAATGTAGATGTTTGGATGATTGTGATCACATATGTTCGCCGCGTAAAGCTTAAACATGCGGAAGCATGACACATGTCGTTGGCCAACAGACACATGACATATAACACAGGTCGTTGGCCAACAGACACTTGACATATGACACAGGTCGTTGGCCAACAGACATTTGACATATAACACAGGTCGTTGGCCAACAGACACATGACATATGACACAGGTCGGTGGCCAACAGACACATGACATATAACACAGGTCGTTGGCCAACAGACACTTGAAATATGACACAGGTCGTTGGCCAACAAACACTTGACATCTAACACAGGTCGTTGGCCAACAGACAGATGACATATGACACAGGTCGGTGGCCAACAGACACATATGACACAGGTCGGTGGCCAACAGACACATGACATATGACACAGGTCGGTGTCCAACAGACACTTGACATATGACACAGGTCGTTGGTCAACAGACAATTGACATATGACACAGGTCGGTGGCCAACCTGTGTCCTGTGCCTGTTGGCCATTAACGCTTGTCAGGATGTTTACTATATATGGGTATCCGGTTACCAGCCCTCGGTGGTGGCTGCTGTCAATACACGACACAATGCCGGGTGACGCAATGACCTACATACGACTCGTGTGACCAGGAAGAAGAAAGTGAAAACAGGATCGTTGTTATACCACTAGGCGGCATCTACGCAGTGGTAGCAGCTACCTTAGTGTACCTGCTTCACACTGTATGCACCACCCTCGGTATACCTGCTTCACACTGTATGCACCACCCTCGGTATACCCGCTTCACGCTGTATGCACCGCCCTCGGGCTGGGGACAGACACAACATCTGATATACGAGAATCCGAACAGATCCATCTATATCACGTGTGATTATCAGTTGTGAGGACTCATCTGTGACGTAATCGGATGACACTGGCTGGAATCGTCAGTCGGACGTGAGGTACTGTATGTCTCCTTGGCAACTTTGATGGGAGTGCAATTTAAAGATAGGTCTAGGTCACCTAATTTTGAAGCTGGGTTTCAACCCTTCATTTAACTGTGTCTTTAATCCTCTTGATAAGGATTTGTACAACAAAGAGCCTTCTCTTGTTCCGCCTCTTGGTTTAAGAGTTAAACCATTCATTTCTGCTGCCGGTATTGAGCTGGTAAATATATCTCCTTCCCGTCTTCTTTCTTCTCCTCCTTGGCAGTTGGTTAGGCCACAAGTTGACCTAACATTAAGCACTTTTAAAAAATCAGAAACTAATGACTTACAATATATACAAGAATATAATCAATTAAGAAGTAAATATAATACATACAAATCCTTATTTACAGATGGGTCCAAGAATAGTGGCGCAGTGGCTTGTGCCACTGTCATTGGATCCAGAACAATATCTTGTCGACTACCAAATAACAGCTCTATTTTCACAGCAGAACCTAATGCTATATTAACAGCTCTTAGATATATTAATAAGCACCGTAAATATAAACAATACATAATCTTGTCCGATTCTCTTTCGTGCCTTCAAGCTATCTAAAAACTCTCTTGTAAACATCCACTTTTAATTGAGATTATTGAACTTTATAATGATCTAGCTACTGGCCAATGCGACATCGTCTTTTGTTGGTTCCCCAGCCGTGTTGGTATTTCTGGGAATACAGTGGCCGATCTTGCTGCTAAGGCAGCACTCAATAAATCTGTGACACCACTTCTTATTCCATACTCTGATTATAAAGCTGTTATCAGATCTTATATCCGTGATCTAATGCAAAAGAAGTGGGACACCCAAGTGGGTATAAATAAATTACATGCAATACAACCTTATCAGAGGGGTACACAAAGTCCGCAGTCTAGACTACCAAGTGTCCGACTTCCATTTTTGTGGAAGCCACGGTGGCTGAGCGGTCTAGGCGTCTGACTTTGCGTGCTGGCGGTTAGGTGCCTGACTCTGAGGGTGTAGGTTCGAATCCCGGATTATCAAAGCACCGCAACCATTGTTCTGACGGTCCCTTCCGTCATATTATGACCGTCACCGGACATAAGTCTGAATCTAGCCTGAAAACATATACTGGCTACACTGATGAGAAAGCCAAGAAGAAAATGTCAGCAACCATAGCTGAGAAAACGTGACGCTATCCCGCCAGCTGAAGACATCAAGAACTTTCTGAATGATGTTGACTTTGACAGACTTTTGCAAACAATTGATGTTCATGAAACTACTGACTCTGCACTTAGGCCTAATGTGCAGGTGCAGAGCAGCATGGTAAATAACTGCTTGACCCGAATGCCCGGACCTGTAATGCACGGCTACAATGTTACCATTAACTACACTTTCTACCAACATCAGTATAAGCAGCTTTGTTTTAACTGCTGCTGTGACGGATATTGTACCATGAATGTTTATGTAAGGGCGTCAAGCTATGACGTCATCCTATTGTTTACATGTCACAGTATTGTTGACATAACGTTATTGGTTTGTAGTGAAAATAAACTTACTTTGCTTTACTAAATGGACATGTTTTGGTATTTAGAAGATTTTTCCTAAAATTACTTAATAAAACAATTATGGACTGGTGAATTCCGTCAATACCTGCTATTATGGACCCGCGAAAGCAATATTGAACGAGGACGCTTATACTATAACTGTATAATGTGGCTATTGACCTCATCACCAGTCTATAACTGTATAACGTGGCTATTGACCTCATCACCAGTCTATAACTGTATAATGTTGCTATTGACCTCATCACCAGTCTATAACTGTATAATGTGGCTATTGACCTCATCACCAGTCTATAACTGTATAATGTGGCTATTGACCTCATCACCAGTCTATAACTGTATAATGTGGCTATTGACCTCATCACCAGTCTATAATTGTATAATGTGGCTATTGACCTCATCACCAGTCTATAACTGTATAATGTGGTTATTGACCTCATCACCAGTCTACAACTGTATAATGTGGCTATTGACCTCATCAGCAGTCTATAACTGTATAATGTGGATATCAACCTCATCACCAGTCTATAACTGTATAATGTGGCTATTGACCTCATCAGCAGTCTATAACTGTATAATGGGGCTATTGACCTCATTACCAGTCTACAACTGTATAATGTGGCTATTGACCTCATCACCAGTCTACAACTGTATAATGTGGCTATTGACCTCATCACCAGTCTATAACTGTATAACGTGGCTATTGACCACATCACCAGTCTATAACTGTATAATGTTGCTATTGACCTCATCACCAGTCTATAACTGTATAAAGTGGCTATTGACCTCATCACCAGTCTATAACTGTATAATGTGGCTATTGACCTCATCAGCCGTCTATAACTGTATAATGTGGCTATTGACCTCATCAGCAGTCTACAACTGTATAATGTTGCTATTGACCTCATCACCTGTCTATAACTGTATAATGTGGCTATTGACCTCATCACCAGTCTATAACTGTATAATGTTGCTATTGACCTCATCAGCAGTCTATAACTGTATAATGTGGCTATTGACCTCATCAGCAGTCTACAACTGTATAATGTGGCTATTGACCTCATCACCAGGCTCTAACTGTATAATGTGGCTATTGACCTCATCAGCAGTCTATAACTGTATAATGTGGCTATTGACCTCATCACCAGTCTATAACTGTATAATGTGGCTATTGACCTCATCAGCAGTCTATTACTGTATAATGTGGCTATTGACCTCATCAGCAGTCTATAACTGTATAATGTGGCTATTGACCTCATCATCAGTCTATAACTGTATAATGTGGCTATTGACCTCATCAGCAGTGTCGAGAAGCATCCCTATGCCAGGATTTCAATTTATCCGTGACTCGTCCGGTTTACTGAGGACTTTTTTTCCGGATTTCTTTTTGTACTGTAATATTATGGGTAATACACGAGACAAGAGAGCACGTGTTTTCCTGTTTTGCCTTGAAGTTGACAACCACTTGACTGAGAAGTGCCCTGATAGATTTTTCATGGTCCCGCGAGCCGGATGGTAACCCCAGTCTTACGTTGCCCTTGAATATGAACGGTGCCATTGTCGGTAAGAACGACAGTGATGAAACTCGTCAGCCAGCCGAGAGAGGTGCTCGGTTTTCGTCGCGCGACAGACGACTTCCGAGGTATCTTTCTGACTATGTTTTGGACAGATATTTAAACGAGTCACAATTACAGGAATCGTCAGTATTGATAACACGATCGCAAGCCTCAAATGCACCCAGTAGACATTCTCATGCATCTAAACACTCTCAGCGGTCACAACAGTTTGAGAAGTGCCCTGTTAGATTTTTCAACCAGTCTATAACTGTATAATGTGGCTATTGACCTCATCACCAGTCTACAACTGTATAATGTGGCTGTTGACCTCTTCACCAGTCTATAACTGTATAATGTGGCTATTGACCTCATCAGCAGTATCTAATTGTATAATGTGGCTATTGACCTCTTCACCAGTCTATAACTGTATAATGTGGCTATTGACCTCTTCACCAGTCTATAACTGTATAATGTGGCTATTGACCTTATCAGCAGTCTATAACTGTATAATGTGGCTATTGACCTCATCAGCAGTCTATAACTGTATAATGTGTCTATTGACCTCATCAGCAGTCTATAACTGTATAATGTGGCTATTGACCTCATCAGCAGTCTATAACTGTATAATGTGGCTATTGACCTCATCATCAGTCTATAACTATATAATGTGGCTATTTACCTCATCACCAGTGTCGAGAAGCATCCCTATGCCAGGATTTCAATTTATCCGTGACTCGTCCGGTTTACTGAGGACTTTTTGTTCCGGATTTCTTTTTGTACTGTAATATTATGGGTAATACACGAGACAAGAGAGCACGTGTTTTCCTGTTTTGCCTTGAAGTTGACAACCACTTGACGTGTTTTTCCGTTTCGCCCCTGATACAAACCACTCTGACTGAGAAGTGCCCTGATAGATTTTTCATGGTCCCGCGAGCCGGATGGTAACCCCAGTCTTACGTTGCCCTTGAATATGAACGGTGCCATTGTCGGTAAGAACGACAGTGATGAAACTCGTCAGCCAGCCGAGAGAGGTGCTCGGTTTTCGTCGTCGCGACAGACGACTTCGAGGTATCTTTCTGACTATGTTTTGGACAGATATTTAAACGAGTCACAATTACAGGAATCGTCAGTATTGATAACACGATCGCAAGCCTCAAATGCACCCAGTAGACATTCTCATGCATCTAAACACTCTCAGCGGTCACAACAGTTTGAGAAGTGCCCTGTTAGATTTTTCAACCAGTCTATAACTGTATAATGTGGCTATTGACCTCATCACCAGTTTATAACTGTATAATGTGGCTGTTGACCTCTTCACCAGTCTATAACTGTATAATGTGGCTATTGACCTCATCAGCAGTATCTAATTGTATAATGTGGCTATTGACCTCTTCACCAGTCTATAACTGTATAATCTGGCTATTGACCTCTTCACCAGTCTATAACTGTATAATGTGGCTATTGACCTTATCAGCAGTCTATAACTGTATAATGTGGCTATTGACCTCATCAGCAGTCTATAACTGTATAATGTGGCTATTGACCTCATCAGCAGTCTACAACTGTATAATGTGGCTATTGACCTAATCACAAGTCTATAACTGTGTAATGTGGCTATTGACCTCATCAGCAGTCTATAACTGTATAATGTGGCTATTGACCTCATCACCAGTCTATAACTGTATAATGTGTCTATTGACCTCATCAGCAGTCTATAACTGTATAATGTGGCTATTGACCTCATCAGCAGTCTATAACTGTATAATGTGGCTATTGACCTCATGATCAGTCTATAACTATATAATGTGGCTATTTACCTCATCACCAGTGTCGAGAAGCATCCCTATGCCAGGATTTCAATTTATCCGTGACTCGTCCGGTTTACTGAGGACTTTTTGTTCCGGATTTCTTTTTGTACTGTAATATTATGGGTAATACACGAGACAAGAGAGCACGTGTTTTCCTGTTTTGCCTTGAAGTTGACAACCACTTGACTGAGAAGTGCCCTGATAGATTTTTCATGGTCCCGCGAGCCGGATGGTAACCCCAGTCTTACGTTGCCCTTGAATATGAACGGTGCCATTGTCGGTAAGAACGACAGTGATGAAACTCGTCAGCCAGCCGAGAGGTGCTTGGTTTTCGTCGCGCGACAGACGACTTCGAGGTATCTTTCTGACTATGTTTTGGACAGATATTTAAACGAGTCACAATTACAGGAATCGTCAGTATTGATAACACGATCGCAAGCCTCAAATGCACCCAGTAGACATTCTCATGCATCTAAACACTCTCAGCGGTCACAACAGTTTGAGAAGTGCCCTGTTAGATTTTTCAACCAGTCTATAACTGTATAATGTGGCTATTGACCTCATCACCAGTCTATAACTGTATAATGTGGCTGTTGATCTCTTCACCAGTCTATAACTGTATAATGTGGCTATTGACGTCATCAGCAGTCTATAACTGTATAATGTGGCTATTGACCTCATCAGCAGTCTATAACTGTATAATCTGGCTATTGACCTCATTACCAATCTACAACTGTATAATGTGGCTATTGACCTCATCATCAGTCTATAACTGTATAATGTGGCTATTGACCTCATCAGCAGTCTATAACTGTATAATGTGGCTATTTACCTCATCAGCAGTCTATAACTGTATAATATCGCTATTGACCTCATCACCAGTCTACAACTGTATAATGTGGCTATTGACCTCATCAGCAGTCTATAACTGTATAATGTGGCTATTGACCTCATCACCAGTCTATAACTGTATAATGTGGCTGTTGACCTCATCACCAGTCTATAACTGTATAATGTGGCTATTGACCTCATCAGCAGTCTATAACTGTATAATGTGGCTATTGACCTCATCATCAGTCTACAACTGTATAATGTGGCTATTGACCTAATCACAAGTCTATAACTGTATAATGTGGCTATTGACCTCATCAGCAGTCTATAACTGTATAATGTGGCTATTGACCTCATCACCAGTCTATAACTGTATAATGTGGCTATTGACCTCATCATCAGTCTACAACTGTATAATGTGGCTATTGACCTAATCACAAGTCTATAACTGTATAATGTGGCTATTGACCTCATCAGCAGTCTATAACTGTATAATGTGGCTATTGACCTCATCATCAGTCTATAACTGTATAATGTGGCTATTGACCTCATCATCAGTCTATAACTGTATAATGTGGCTATTGACCTCATCACCAGTGTCGAGAAGCATCCCTATGCCAGGATTTCAATTTATCCGCGACTCGTCCGGTTTACTGGGGACTTTTTTTTCCGGATTTCTTTTTGTACTGTAATGTTATGGGTAATACTCGAGACAAGAGGGCACGTGTTTTCCTGTTTTGCCTTGAAGTTGACAACCACTTGACTGAGAAGTGCCCTGATAGATTTTTCATGGTCCCGCGAGTCGGATGGTAACCCCAGTCTTACGTTGCCCTTGAATATGAAGGGTGCCATTGCCGTTAAGAACGACAGTGATGAAACTCGTCAGCCAGCCGAGAGAGGTGCTCGGTTTTCGTCAAGCGACAGACGACCTCCGAGGTATCTTTCTGACTATGTTTTGGACAGATATTTAAACGAGTCACAATTACAGGAATCGTCAGTATTGATAACACGATCGCAAGCCTCAAATGCACCCAGTAGACATTCTCATGCATCTAAACACTCTCAGCGGTCACAACAGTTTGAGAAGTGCCCTGTTAGATTTTTCAACCAGTCTATAACTGTATAATGTGGCTATTGACCTCATCACCAGTCTACAACTGTATAATGTGGCTATTGACCTCATCAGCAGTCTATAACTGTATAATGTGGCTATTGACCTCATCAGCAGTCTATAACTGTATAATGTGGCTATTGACCTCATCAGCAGTCTATAACTGTATTATGTGGCTATTGACCTCATCATCAGTCTATAACTGTATAATGTGGCTATTGACCTCATCAGCAGTCTATAACTGTATAATGTGGCTATTGACCTCATCAGCAGTCTATAACTGTATAATGTGGCTATTGACCTCATTACCAGTCTACAACTGTATAATGTGGCTATTGACCTCATCAGCTGTCTATAACTGTATAATGTGGCTATTGACCTCATCAGCAGTCTATAACTGTATAATGTGGCTATTGACCTCATCAGCAGTCTGTCACTGTATAATGTGGCTATTGACGTCATCACCAGTCTATAACTGTAAAATGTGGCTATTGACCTCATCACCAGTTTATAACTGTATAATGTGGCTATTGACCTCATCACCAGTCTATAACTGCATAATGTGGCTATTGACCTCATCACCAGTCTATAACTGTATAATGTTGCTATTGACCTCATCACCAGTCTATAACTGTATAATGTGGCTATTGACCTCATCACCAATCTGTAACTGTATAATGTGGAGATTGACCTCATCACCAGTCTATGACTGTATAATGTGGCTATTGACCTCATGACCAGTCTATGACTGTATAATGTGGATATTGACCTCATCACCAGTCTATGACTGTATAATGTGGCTATTGACCTCGTCACCAGTCTATAACTGTATAATGTGGCGATTGACCTCATCACCAGTCTATAACTGTATAATGTGGCTATTGACCTCATCACCAGTCTATAACTGTATAATGTGGCTATTGACCTCGTCACCAGTCTATAACTGTATAATGTGGCTATTGATCTCATCAGCAGTCTATAACTGTATAATGTGGCTATTGACCTCATCAGCCGTCTATAACTGTATAATGTGGCGATTGACCTCATCAGCAGTCTATAACTGTATAATAAGGCTATTGACCTCATCACCAGTCTATAACTGTATAATGTGGCTATTGACCTCATCACCAGTCTATAACTGTATAATGTGGCTATTGACCTCATCATCAGTCTATAACTGTATAATGTGGCTATTGACCTCATCAGCAGTCTATAACTGTATAATGTGGCTATTGACCTCATCACCAGTCTATAACTGTATAATGTGGCTATTGACCTCATCACCAGTCTATAACTGTATAATGTGGCTATTGACCTCATCACCAGTCTATAACTGTATAATGTGGCTATTGACCTCATCACCAGTCTATAACTGTATAATGTGGCTATTGACCTCATCACCAGTCTATAACTGTATAATAAGGCTATTGACCTCATCACCAATCTATAACTGTATAATAAGGCTATTGACCTCATCAGCAGTTTATAACTGTATAATGTGGCTATACAACTGTTCCCGACACACAGAACGAATTCAGCCAGCGCGATGGCTTTGATGGATGTGTCCCATTCGTCCCCTTCCGTAACCTACAAGATGACTCGTCCCCCTCTCAGTGCTTGTTATATGTGAAAATACGACAAAAGGTGCTTTGATAAAGATAATCCCGAGTACTTAAATCGTTTATGGAATCATGTGATTGTTAAACACATTCTAAAGCTTATATATCATCATACTGAAACTACGAAGAACCTTTGTAACAGAATTGTTTTGTGTAGCTTTTAGTAAGGATAATGCCATAGACGGTGAGAGATTCAAACGCACGCACATGGGTTTTGAGCGTTTTTCTGACGTAACAAATGTTATATTTGGGATTACACTTTCTTAGTGAGGTACATATTCTTGCCGTTTTGCTGGGTTAAGTCCCATCCGGGATTCGAACCGACACCCTCAGAGTCAGGGACCTAATCGCCAGTTACAGAAGTAACACGTTTAAAAGATTTGAATTCGGAGGACTTGGTGTGATAGATGTAGGTGAATATTTTCTGGAATTAAACCTGTCTTACCTGAAACACAGTTATGCAATGTTAAAAACTTAAAACCTCTGCAATGAGATTTTCTATAGAAAAGATCTATTCAGATTAGGTGCAAATGTACGTAAGTATAGTCACTGCAATAAGCCTTTCTGGCAGGGTACCTGTGAGGTTTGGGGCTACATATATGAAACCGAAAAATAGTTAAACTCAAAATATCATCCACACGTTCAAAAAACAGTCAGGCTCAAAAACCAGTTAACAAAAACGACTGGCAACGACAAGAAAAACTTTCTGAATATCTTTCTGTCTTTGGTATGAACTTATCTACCACAGCTATCATATCAGTATAACCATGACAGTATATAAGCTGAGAACAGGTTTCACTATATACAGGTATACTGTGTGTTCCTTTGTCGGGACCATGAACCTGTTCTCTTGCTGGAATCAAAACAATGACAAAAAATAGACTGTATGTTGCACAACAGGGTTCATTTAGCTCTTGACTGATTACGAAGGTCGGGACTAATAGACTGGAAGTGCATATGACTTTCAAATTTCAGTTGCAATTTTTTTGTTTCATCTGTTAGACCGCACTGCATAAACTGCTGGAGAAATTCTTTCAAAATGGAAAGATCAGACCCATGTGGAATGTACTGTAGCTTGAGCAAGTCCTCAGTTATAGTGTAGTAAGTGTAGTTTACTTTCAGAACGGTGAGCAATGGAAGGAACTCCCGACTCACGTGACCAGCACATGACCAGATGGCTTACTGAGGAAGCAGCTGAAGTACTGAGGAGGAATGAAGAAGGGAGACAACCCACTTCTTTCTCAGCCATACAGCAGAACTACAGTGAGCATTTCATTCATTCAAGTCATGCATGCAGTTAGATAAGCAGGAGTATTACCAAATGAAATAATTGGTTTAAATTTATGTTTATGGTTCCCTTACTGGATGGGTATGACGTGAATATTGAGACCAGAGGTTATCTTGTTCTGTTGCAGGTGGCCCAGTGTCTCAGGTGGACTTGACCAATGCTTCCAATGTCTCCGTCTCTGTTGGGGAGCAAGGAACTAAAGGATGTCTGTCCCAAGGTGAGATGATGCACAAACATACTGATAATTTGGTAAAGACGACAATGGCGACAATCGCATCTCGATCTTGAGTGCTGTTTTTGATCCCTCATGTAGCTGCTCAAACGTGTTATCCTGAAAATGAAAATGAGGGCATGGTAATAAGGACCAAGGGTTGACTTATAGATTTCCAGGGGCTTCACAATCCATAATACTCTTCCCAAATTAACTGGGGATTGGTTCTCAGGTTTTATCTCAGAAAATATTGCTCAGACATGATAGATGTTCCGAACAATGAACAGTTGTTCTAAAATATTGACAGTATTTTCATTATGTAGCAGTTAAGATAAATGCGTGTAAGTCCATACTTTCATCCTCTGTGGTGAGCTTAAAGATGGAAATTGTTACGTTTACGTGTATGCTTGTATGAATTGACAGCATCAGATCCAAACACCGCCCGCATGAACTGTTACCCAATTGTAGTTTCCTTTTCCCCACAGAACGTTTCCGTCAAAAGATGGAACACCTAAAGAAGTATTTTGTGAACATCCATGCCCTCCAGACAGCCAGACAACTCCTTGAGAAACATAGTCATGTCAGCATCTGTGGAGCCCCGGGGGATGGGAAGACCAGCATTGCTCTGATGATCTGTGAGGCATATCAGCAACAGGGATATGAAACAGTCTTTGTGGAAAACATTGAACACTTTGATGTTGATACAATTTCTAAGAGACAATCACACATGTTGGTTGTGTTTGATGATATATTTGGCTGTGTTACTTTCATTTCAAATCTGGAAAAACTGCATAAATTGTTTAGTGCTTTGGTTGATGATCGTGCTAAAACAGCTGCAGATATAGAGGTTTCAAAGAAGAAGAAGAAGAAGAAGGATGAACAATCAAAACACGAAGACAAATCTAATGAAGAAATCCCTGTCTACAGACTCAAGCTTGTGTTCACATCCAGGACATACAACTGGAAGGAAGGATGTTCCAGACTACATCAGTACAAGGTGGATCTGCTTACAACAGAAGCTGTTCTTGATATGGCTAAAGACTGTCTCACGATGGAAGACAAGAAACGTATGTTATGGTCCTACAAGTCCAAACACCCTGCATGCGATATCTCTGAAAAAGATATTTGTATCATCGCAGAGTCAAAACACAGCATATTTGGATTTCCTCTGATCAGCAGACTGTTTTTCACCAATGCTGTCTTCCAGATGCACAAACTGCAATTCTTCAACCATCCACTGACCTACCTGAGAGGCGACCTTGACACCATTGTCCGGGAGGAAAGCAATAGATCGGCAGCAATCATCATCCTCATCCTGTCTGATGGGAAACTTAATCTTGTTTCTTTGCAGTCACGGAAAGCTGGACATGAAATGTTTGACGCTGTCAAGGAAGTAGTTCCTTGTTGTACAAGGACAGGCATTGCCAATGAGATCAGCAACTTTACTGGGATCTACTGTACAGTGGAGGATCACGTGGCATCTTTCTCCCACCCCTCCATATACGATGCTGCAGCCTGTGCTGTAGGACATCTCGATATCGTGTTGCTGCTGGAACACTGCTCGCTGAAGTTCTTGTATGAAAGAGTGAGACTGGATAAGAGTTCTGAGTCGTCAAGTATGGACGATGTCACAAACATGATCACCATCACTCCCCAACTACACCCAACAGTAGTGAACAGATTGGTGGAAGGTATCCGACAAGGATGCTTCATTTGGACAGTAAAACACCCAGTTCTCCGTGATGAAAGGATTGCCTCTCTACTTTGGACAGAGATTAATGATAACATACTTGAGACTGTCCTGCGAAGGGATGTGGACACTGCTGAAGGCTTTTTGTGTTTGACTTCCCTATCTAACAGTTACTTTCTATTTTCCAAGTCTTTAGAAGTTGCTGTACGTCTGGGTGACAGAGCACCTGATCTGTATGCATGTGTTGTAGCCTGTGTTACCCATGACAAACTGGAACATCTGGAACATCTCGTTACAGTGATGTGTAACCATGGAGGATTTAATGTTGAATATGCCATCGATGGGACAACCCTCATGATCATGGCTGCAAAGTCCCGAAATCCTAAAGTGTTCAGCTTTCTCATCCAGAAAGGTGCTGATATTTCAGTGAGGGACTGGAAAGGAAACACCTGTTTGCATTATGCCTGTGAATCAGGAAGCATAGCATTGGCAGCCAAGGTGGTGGAAACATGCCCTGTCTTGATTAATTTGATGAATTATCAGAATTTCACGCCTGCAATGATTTGTGCTAAAACAGGTTACCTTGATATTCTGAAGTTCCTCAAAGAAAAAGGAGCCGATTTAACATGTACATACGGGAAAGACTGTTTACATTTGTCAAGTGAAAAGGGCAATCTGTCAACAGTGAACTTCTTAATTTCATTGAAAATATATGATGTAAGCAAGAGGGAAAGTACATTAATGCAAACCCCAGTTATGTTTGCCGTGGCCGGAGGGCACTATGATGTTTATCATCTCCTTGTATCTGAGGGCGCAGATCTGACCCTTACTAATAGATACGATGAAGACTGCCTGATGTTGGCATGTGAAGGAGGTAACGTATCTATTGTGAAACACATCCTATCCATGAAAACATGGGACATCAACAGTTGGGGAAGATACTACAGCACAACACCACTTACGACGGCATTAAAAGGGGGACACTATGATGTTTATAATCTCCTTGTATCTAAGGGCGCAGATCTGACCCGTACTGATATAGACAACACTGACTGCCTTATGTTCGCATGTGCAGGTGGAAACATATCTATTGTGAAACACATCCTATCCATGAAAACATGTGACATCAACAGACGGAGAAGATACTCAAACCTAACACCAATAATGATGGCATTACAAAATGGACACTCTGATGTTTATCATCTTCTTGTATCTGAGGGCGCAGATCTGACCCTTACTTATGAAGACAACACTGACTGCCTTATGTTGGCATGTGCAGGTGGTAACATATCTATTGTGAAACACATCCTATCCATCAAAACATGGGACATCAACAGACGGGGAGGAAAGTCAAACCAAACACCAATACTGATGGCATTAGAAGGTGGACACTATGATGTTTATCATCTTCTTGTATCTGAGGGCGCAGATCTGACCCTTACTGATGAAGACAACACTGACTGCCTTATGTTGGCATGTGCAGGTGGTAACATATCTATTGTGAAACACATCCTATCCATGAAAACATGTGACATCAACAGACGGGGAGGATACTCAAACCAAACACCAATAATGATGGCATTAGAAGGTGGACACTCTGATGTTTATCATCTTCTTGTATCTGAGGGCGCTCATCTGACACTTACTGATGAAGACAACACTGACTGTCTGGTGTTGGCATGTGCAGGTGGTAACATATCTCTTGTGAAACACATCCTATCAATGAAAACATGTGACATCAACAGACGGGGAGGAGACTCAAACCAAACACCAATAATGATGGCATTAGAAGGTGAACAGTATGATGTATATCATCTCCTTGTATCTGAGGGCGCAGATCTGACCCTTACTGATAAAGACAACACTGACTGCCTGATGTTGGCGTGTGAAGGAGGTATCATACCTATTGTGAAACACATTCTGTCCATCAAAACATGGGACATCAACAGACGGGGAGGGAAGTCAAACCAAACACCAATAATGGTGGCATTAAGAAGTGGACACTATGATGTTTATCATCTCCTTGTATCTGAGGGCGCAGATCTGACCCTTACTGATGAATACAACACTGACTGTCTGATGTTGGCATGCCAAGGAGGTAACATTTCTATTGTGAAACACATCTTATCCATGAAAACATGTGACATCAACAACCGGGGAGGATACTTTAACCAAACACCAGTAATGATGGCATTAAGAAGTGGACACTATGATGTTTATCATCTCCTTGTATCTGAGGGCGCAGATCTGACCCTTACTGATGAAGACAACACTGACTGTCTGATGTTCGCATGTGCAAGAGGAAACATATCTATTGTGAAACACATTCTATCAAGGAAAACATGTGACATCAACAGGCGGGGAGGGAGGTCAAACCAAACACCAATAATGATGGCATTGGAAAGAGGACACTATGATGTTTATCATCTCCTTCTATCTGAGGGCGCAGATGTGACCCTTACTGATGAAGACAACTCTGACTGCCTGATGTTTGCATGTGAAGGAGGTATCATACCTATTGTGAAACACATTCTATCAATGAAAACATGTGACATCAACAGACGTGGAGGATACTCAAACCAAACACCAATAATGATGGCATTGAGAAGAGGACACTATGATGTTTATCATCTTCTTGTATCTGAGGGCGCTGATCTAACCCTTACTGATGAAGACAACTCTGACTGTCTGATGTTGGCATGTGCAGGTGGTAACATATCTCTTGTGAAACACATCCTATCCATGAAAACATGTGACATCAACAGACGGGGAGGAGACTCAAACCAAACACCAATAATGAGGGCATTAGAAGGTGGACACTCTGATGTTTATCATCTTCTTGTATCTGAGGGCGCTCATCTGACCCTTACTGATGAAGACAACACTGACTGCCTTATGTTGGCATGTGCAGGTGGTAACATATCTATTGTGAAACACATCCTATCAATGAAAACATGTGACATCAACAGACGGGGAGGAGACTCAAACCAAACACCAATAATGATGGCATTAGAAGGTGAACACTATGATGTATATCATCTCCTTGTATCTGAGGGCGCAGATCTGACCCTTACTGATGAAGACAACACTGACTGCCTGATGTTTGCATGTGAAGGAGGTATCATACCTATTGTGAAACACATTCTATCAATGAAAACATGTGACATCAACAGACGGGGAGGAAAGTCAAACCGAACACCAATAATGATGGCATTAGAAGGTGGACACTATCATGTTTGTCATCTCCTTGTATCTGAGGGCGCAGATCTGACCCTTACTGATGAAGACAACACTGACTGTCTGATGTTGGCATGCCAAGGAGGTAACATTTCTATTGTGAAACACATCTTATCCATGAAAACATGTGACATCAACAGACGGGAACGATACTCAAACAAAACACCAGTAATGACGGCATTAAGAAGTGGACACTATCATGTTTGTCATCTCCTTGTATCTGAGGGCGCAGATCTGACCCTTACTGATAAGGACAACACTGACTGTCTGATGTTCGCATGTGCAGGAGCTAACATATCTATTGTGAAACACATCCTATCAATGAAAACATGTGACATCAACAGACGGGGAGGGAGGTCAAACCAAACACCAATAATGATGGCATTAGAAAGAGGACACTATGATGTTTATCATCTCCTTCTATCTGAGGGCGCAGATCTGACCCTTACTGATGAAGACAACACTGACTGCCTGATGTTGGCATGTGCAGGAGGTAACATATCTATTGTGAAACACATCCTATCAATGAAAACATGTGACATGAACAGACGGGGAGGAAGGTCAAATCAAACACCAATAATGATGGCATTAGAAAGAAGACACCATGATGTTTGTCATCTCCTTGTATCTGAGGGCGCAGATCTGACCCTTACTGATGAAGACAACGATGACTGTCTGATGTTGGCATGTAAAGGAGGTAACCCATCTCTTGTGAAACACATCCTATCCATCAAAACATGGGACATCAACAGACGTGGAGGATACTCAAACCAAACACCAATAATGATGGCAGTAACATGTGGACACTATTTCGTTTATCTTCTCCTTCTATCTGAGGGCGCAGATCTGACACTTACTGATAAAGACAACAATGACTGTCTGATGTTGGCATGTAAAGGAGGTAACCCATCTCTTGTGAAACACATCCTATCCATCAAAACATGGGACATCAACAGACGTGGAGGATACTCAAACCAAACACCAATAATGATGGCAGTAACATGTGGACACTATTTTGTTTATCTTCTCCTTCTATCTGAGGGCGCAGATCTGACACTTACTGATAAAGACAACAATGACTGTCTGATGTTGGCATGTAAAGGAGGTAACCCATCTCTTGTGAAACACATCCTATCCATCAAAACATGGGACATCAACAGACGTGGAGGATACTCAAACCAAACACCAATAATGATGGCAGTAACATGTGGACACTATTTTGTTTATCATCTCCTTGTATCTGAAGGCGCAGATCTGACAGTTACTGATGCACACAACAATGACTGCCTTATGTTGGCATGTGAAAGAGGTAGGATATCTACTGTGAAACACATCCTATCAAGGAAAACATGTGACATAAACAGACGGGGAGGAGATTCAAACCTAACACCAATAATGATGGCATTAAAAAGTAGACACTCTGATGTTTGTCATCTTCTTGTATCTGAAGGCGCAGATCTGACTCTTACTGATGAAGACAACACTGACTGCCTGATGTTGGCATGTAAAGGAGGTGACATATCTATTGTGAAACACATCTTATCCATGAAAACATGTGACATCAACAGACGGGGAGGATACTTTAACCAAACACCAATAATGATGGTGTTAGAAGGTGGACACTATGATGTTCATCATCTCCTTTTATCTAAGGGCGCAGATATGACGCTTACTAATTAAAACAAAGGACTGCCTTATGTTGACATGTGAAGGAGGTAACATATCTATTGTGAAACACATCCCATCCATCAAAACATGTTACATCAAAATGACAGGGAAGATACTTTTACCAAACACCAATAATGATGGTGTTAGAAGGTGGACACTATGATGTTTATCATCCCCTTGTATCTGAGGGCGCAGATCTGACCCTTACTGATGAAGACAACACTGACTGTCTGATGTTGGCATGCCAAGGAGGTGACATATCTGTTGTGAAACACATCCTATCAATGAAAACATGTGACATCAACAGACGGAGAAGATACTCAAACCAAATGCCAATAATGATGGCAGTAGAAAGTGGACACTATTATGTCTATCATCTCCTTCTATCTGAGGGCGCAGATCTGACCCTTACTGATGAAGACAACACTGACTGACTGATGTTGGCATGTGAAACAGGTGACATATCTTTTGTGAAACACATCTTATCCATGAAAACATGTGACATCAACCGACTTGGAGGATACTCAAACCAAACACCAATAATGATGGCATTGAAACGTGGACACTATGATGTTTATGATCACCTTATATCTGAGGGCGCAGATCTGACAACTAATAGATGACACTAACACAATTTGCGATGTCGTTACATGTGAAACACTGTAAGTTTGTGATCTTGTCTTAGGTGTGCAGATATGACCTTTACTGATGAACCCAACAGAAACTGTCTGCCATGCATGGGAGGAAACATACCTGGAAGCTGAATATCTGTATATAACACTGTGTCATGGTGTACGTGACATTGTAGTATACTATCGTGTTATACTATGGCATTGTTTAGCTGTGGTGTAAATGTCATATATATATAGTTGTGTATTGCTGCATGTACCAGCGTATAGGGTTGTAGAGGTGTATATAGCATGGTACTATTTTCAAGTATTGTAACCTTAGTGGATTCTGGTATGAATGTATGCATGACATATTGCATACACTGTATGACATGATGTTTTACACTGTGTACGCTACCCGACTGATGTAACCGGGCACTGGATAAGTGGGAACCACAGCACTGTGTAAACAGCATTGTACAGTGCTGAAGGGTTATCTATTGTAGGCATTTTAAAGGAATGAATTCTTTAGCTTTATATATGATGCAGTGTGTTAGGTTTTGGCAAAAATTCTCCTTGTCTTTGTTTTCCTGTTCAGTTTGGTTTACCTAGTTACACAAATTTTCGAACCAGCGGGCTTTGTTTTAGAATTTTGGTTCTTGTGGATTTTTCTGGTTTTCGTTATTTATATTGCCTACTGTTACAAGGACAGGAAAATGGTCGCTTCCCAACGGACTGAAATGCTTTTGAGACAGGGTACATTGAGCGAGCTCCGGGTGCAGATAATATAATCGCTAACAGACATAGTTCAGTGCTGACTGTCATACCTAGTTGGTTCAATCTTAAAAATATACGTCAATCACAAAACTCACTTGAAAAGCTTTTAATTTTTACTGCATGATATATACTTGCTAATAAAAGTACAGAAATTCCTAACAGACTTAATGTATTTTATTTGTTGGTTTATGATTATTAATCGTGTTGTGTTCACACTGCATTATGGGGTTTACTGCTTACATATGCCGGATTTACACGAAGTAGGATTAAGTCATGCCACCCAACTAATACAAACATCTTGAGAATGTTGAGACTGTTGAAAGTCTTGAAAAGCGTTAAAAACGGATTAACCATACCCATTCACTTTTGTAGTGGAACTAACTTTAAACAGCGGTTATTGGCGTGGAATATTCTGTTGTAGAACCAGTACGTTCTCTCCTGGGATCGGTCCATACACACTATACTACTGCCACAAGCGGGCATTTACCACAAGTGGGCCTCTGCTCCAGTAAATGTTGGTTACTGCCACAAGGGGGCTCTGCTACAGAAACTATAGGTTACTGCCACAAGAGGGCCTCTGCTACAGAAACTATTGGTTACTGCCACAATTGGGTCTCTGTTACAGAAGAATTGATGATTGGCGCAATAGAACATAAATGACTTGTTCCAGATTAGATTTTTAACGCCACTTTGAAGGCGTAGTGCGGTGTTAAACAACAAACAGTGAGGACTTATAGTGTAGCTTCATCAAATTAGATCCTCACGACGACCGTATCTGAACCACTGGAAATTACCTATGTATGTTAATGATTTACGAATAATATTATCATTCTCCATGTCAGTTGTTGGTAACACAGCATACAGCGATATTTTATCAGTGTTCCCAACAGGTGCACGAACACAGTCACGCTCCTTTCTCCTCCACGAAGTGGGGGCGGTGAGGTAGTCTAGTGGTTAAAGTGTTCGTTCGTCACGCCGAAGACCCATGTTCGATTCCCCACATGGGTACGATGACTGCATCGTCTGCGTCTGCAATATTGCTAAAAGTTGTGTAAAACCTCAATCACCCATTCCACAAAGTGATGGAATCATGAAAGGAATATACTGTTGCGGATCGATGTCAGGTTTTAAATGGTTTTGCAATGACAACTCGACAATGTCCCTTCTGGGATTCCATACCATTTGGATATTTCTGACCTGCCCTTGAAAGTATGAAAGTATTCGACAATATGGACAGCCACATATATAAGTGGCATATAATCATAGGTCAATATGAGTGCATTGAAATTGAGTTTATTGGGTTTTATCACTTTCATCAGTTTTCCAGTTACTGCTGGAGAAAATTCTGCACCAACAGTTTACTTATGTGATTGCAGTAAAACGTGCGAGCCGCGGCTGATCCTGGCGAGCTAAGGGAGATAATGTAGTTGCACATTGCACCCTATATTTACCCTAGTGCAAAACAGTCTACGACGGATAAGACAAGACCCAGATGACCTACAAGAGTTACCCAATCATCGTGTTCTGACATATTGGAAGCATTATTTGTTGAACGACTTGTTAATATCATCTAAACTCCCCCTTTAGCATTCCTTGAGTGTTATACATTGTCACGTTAATCCTGGTTAACTCAGGCTATGTTTCTGCTTGATATCTACTTGATTCACGTCCCGAGTGCTGAGATTGATGCTGACGATGTCAAGCAGTTATGTCGGACCCAGAATGGATCATGTACATTGCTACTACAACATATATACGAGACAATATCCATTCAGTATTTGGTGTATTTTATTAAACAAGGATGACATAATATGTGCTGTCCATGACGTCAATAGCAAACTAACACATTGCGTTATTACTATTGTTATTAGTATGGTAATCACGGGTTCCGCAGGAAATACACAGTTTCGTGGTTTTGATTGCCTCCGTTTTGAGTAACAGATCCAACAATAAGTCAATTTCTCAGAAAAACAAGCATGCTGACATTGGATGATACAGGTTATCTCCCCTTGTGTAGTGACTCCGAGGCGAAGGGAGAAACTCAATTTGGCGTCACAGCATCACGTCATCATATCTCGTAACAGAACATACTTCCCAGCAGCAGAAGAACAAGATACACATTGCTTTGTCACGGGTCACACAGGATCTTCCTTACGTGTCTCACTGGCCTCGCATGTAATTCAGTCTAGGTACAAGGTTCAAAGTACAAAGTTCAAAGTACAAAGTTAAGTTCGTATAGCAGTGTCAGTTGAACATCACGGCTCTACAACGTGGACATTCCCTTGGGTCAAACATTTATACGTGTGATTCCGGTTTTAATCCGCAGACCTTTCTCTGGGATATACACCGCTAGCTCTACATCGTCGTAGTGGAAGCACAACGCCTTCAAAAGTAATGTTGATCTGGGACAGGCAAACCCAGTGTCAGCATCGACCCACGAACTAGGAGTTTCCTTCACAGCTGAGAACAGTAAAGAGCGATATACATGTATACTTGGGAAACTTTCTACCCATGCCCCACACATGAACTGATAATGAGAGGTGATACTGTATATAGGGAGGTCAGTGAAGGATTGTCTGGTTGAAGTTCACAGTGTACACTAGCTTGAGCAACTCTCAACACAAACATAATATCAATGATATAACAGATACACGAATACAGTTCAACATTATAATATTACTCAGTCATCTATCTACATAAATAGTTATCTCCCCTTGGTGTAGGATTTCACGGAAGGATGTAACTTTGACGAGTAGTCACGTGATCAGATGGGCTTTTCATATTTCAAGGACCAGCCCCGAATATCTATACGAGATACCTGGAAATGCCCGCATGTGTTTCTGACGAACAAACAACAGTGTTTCAACGAGAGAATTTTTTGTTCAGTTTCAATATTTTCAAAGCCTCCTTGTAATTTGGAGGTGGGGCTTCTTCAACGGAGGAAGCAGATGTTGACCTGAATAAAGAAAATACAGGCAAATGCATCCCCGGCATCCGTGATGACCGGCCATTATGTATCTCTACTTCCGGTTCATATGCGGGATTGTCATAAACACTGAGTCCAGGTGCTTGTTTATGGCAAGGGCAGTCACACTGAGCAGGCTGGACTGTTTGAGAGTTCGGAGCCTCGGCGTCTGTGTTCGTTAAGGAGGCACTGCTTTCGGAAGAATTGCTTTCACTGAGCGAGTTCGATCTCGAAGAGGACGGAGACCCCGCGGATGAAGACGTGGTTTCTGATGTTATCATGACGTCCGGCTCATGTTCAGATGAAGTTGAAAGAGATTCGTTAGAGGTTTCAGAGTCAAGATTTGTCAAATGTGTGTCCCTAAAAATGCCACATTTGGAAGATTTGCACTTTCTGCACAAAGAATAATGTCGAGATAACAAAAAAGGCCGTCCATGCAAGCCCAGTAGTTCCTGATAGCTCGGCGGAGGAAGAAACACTTCCGGATGAACAGCCTCCTCGTCTTGAGCTGGACGTCGCGCACGCGTAGAGCGTCTGTTCCGGCGACGTCGCTTCTCGAAGGTGAACGACCAGCAAATACGGAACAGGAAGATGACGACCGGAATAGCCGCGAGGACGATGTAAATGCGCATGTCAAATCGGAGGACACGTCTTGTACCATTCCCTTCCTGGTCCTCGTCTTGTGTCGTGTCTCCTTCCGTGTGGACCCTGTTTAGTGCTGAAAACACGGACAGGAGGTGAAGAGTTTGCACGAATTTATGCTACTGCTATGAGATATATTCCAAATGTTTAACGTAAAACTCGAGAAAAGTATTATGTCAATAAAGACATGTCAACAACCAAGTTCCCGAGCCTGAACCGCTGTTACCGTAGGTCGCCTCCTACAACCAGCTTATGTTGCTGCGAACAACAGAGTTTAATGTGAGGAGCTAGACTGACTTTTAGTCCCCAAATAAAATTTATAAACACTAAATTAAGATCTTATTTACCATAATGTAAAAAAATCTCAAATGCCAATGGGGACCAGGACAGTTTTTAGGCATCCAGACTTGAATTCACCAAAAAATATCATACAGAGAAACGTAAGTATTCACGCAACATAAAGGCACGTACGTTGACAGAAGAATCTTATTCTGTAGTTATTGCATATTCCGGAAGTCTGGTCACTATTCCTGCAGGCTAGACCCGCAGTGGAGCAGGGCAATGCCAGACTGTCTTCCCTCACGATGTCGTCGACGTCACCGTTGTCGACATCGCAGTCAGCTCTGGTGATGGTGTGAGTTGATGGGCAGATATTCCGTCTCAGAGCCTGTAAAGGAGGTAAAGTTATACTTCGCATAGTTTTAAAAGCTGAGCTCGGTCGTGCTATATCCGAGTTCGATTTTTTTTAAAAATTCCGATATGAGCGAGCGTATAGTTGCCTGTGTCAGTCCTTTCCTTGTGTAAACGTACTTGAAACTGTAGTTCCTGGTGTACATTTCATATGTGTTTAATTGGCAGTGTGACTTAATGTAAACATGTTTGTGGGTGTGTCAGGGATCAGATACATCTTGCAGTCACTAGCTTCAGGTATAAAGATGTCAGACTTCTGATATAGCTTGTAGTCACTAGCTGCAGGTATGTAGGTGTCAGGGATCAGATATAGCTTGTAGTCACTAGCTGCAGGTATGTAGGTGTCAGGGATCAGATATAGCTTGTAGTCACTAGCTGCAGGTATGTAGGTGTCAGGGATCAGATATAGCTTGTAGTCACTAGCTGCAGGTATGTAGGTGTCAGAGATCAGATATAGCTTGTAGTCACTAGCTGCAGGTATGTAGGTGTCAGGGATCAGATATAGCTTGTAGTCACTAGCTGTAGGTATGTAGGTGTCAGGGATCAGATATAGCTTGTAGTCACTAGCTGCAGGTATGTAGGTGTCAGAGATCAGATATAGCTTGTATTCACTAGCTGCAGGTATGTAGGTGTCAGAGATCAGATATAGCTTGTAGTCACTAGCTGCAGGTATGTAGGTGTCAGGGATCAGATATACCTTGTAGTCACTAGCTGCAGGTATGTAGGTGTCAGGGATCAGATATAGCTTGTTGCCACTAGCTCCAGGTATGTAGGTGTCAGGGATCAGATATAGCTTGTAGTCACTAGCTGCAGGTATGTGGGTCTCAGGGATCAGATATAGTTTGTAGCCACTAGTTGCTGGCATATAGGTGTCAGGGATCAGATATAGCTTGTAGTCACTAGCTGCAGTTATGTAGGTGTATATGCACGCGATCAGAAATACACGACGGAGTATCAAGTTAATTATATATACAAACGTGATGAGGGCTAACTTGGATTTGAAAACTGATCCATTTTGAAAAATTCGAAACCGCTTATTTCATCCATTAGTTACAAATATCGTGAACGCGTTTGACTAAAACTCCAAACTGTGGCTATAGTGACTGGAAAGGGGCGGGGCTGTAAGACAATGGAGTACACAATGTATTGTGACGACTCACCATATTAAGGCTATAGGGGTCCCCAAGGCAATAAGGAGCTAATTATTTCTCAGGTAATAGGCAGCGCGACCAATGTATGTGAGTGTGAAGCTCTACAGGTGTTATATCAACCCTTAATACACAGTCGGGGTACATGAGTGTGAAGCTCTACAGGTGTTATATCAACCCTTAATTCCCAGTCGGGGTACATGAGTGTGAACCTCTACAGGTGTTATATCAACCCTTAATACACAGTCGGGGTACATGAGTGTGAAGCTCTACAGGTGTTATATCAACCCTTAATTCCCAGTCGGGGTACATGAGTGTGAAGCTCTACAGGTGTTATATCAACCCTTAATACACAGTCAGGGTACATGAGTGTGAAGCTCTACAGGCGTTATATCAACCCTTAATAAACAGTCAGGGTACATGAGTGTGAAGCTCTACAGGCGTTATATCAACCCTTAATACACAGTCGGGGTACATGGGTGTGAAGCTCTACCGTTATATCAACCCTTAATTCCCAGTCGGGGTAAATGAGCGTGAAGCTCTACCGTTATATCAACCCTTAATACACAGTCCGGGTACATGAGTGTGAAGCTCTACAGGCGTTATATGAACCCTAAATTCCCAGTCGGGGTACATGAGTGTGAAGCTCTACCGTTATATCAACCCTTAATTCCCAGTCGAGGTACATGGATTACAACACCCACAACACCCACCCTGGTGATGGATTGAACCGTTTCGTAGTCGCCGTCGCCGCTCACTGGGTCGTCCACGTCGTACCACTCAGTCCAGTACTCGCGGTCGCCCTGCCTTAGTCGGGAGGCTGCAACACACAATAATAATGATGACGATTATAACAATAATAAGAGTCCCCCTTGAATGACGTAGTGTACACACGATTTGTGATTCTCTGCCTGTGCCATGTGCCATGTGACATGCTAAAATAGTCCCATTATCATCTCACCCACCGGGTACCCATTCCCTGCTGCATCAGCAGAGGATTATTTCAAATACTTACTTGCCTAAGGAGACACCCACGTGCTACGCGAGCCCCGGTGTTGGTCACAACCTCAAGAGCCAAGGGAGATCACCCATCGAGTACTTTTCGTGAACAGCGTTGTTTAACGTGAGCTGGTCGTTGTAAGCAGGTCAACTTACCACTGATATATTTCAGTACCACAAAGTCAGCCAAAGATGAACTCAGGAAATTGATAAGATCTAAGTAGACAGCACCCACAGTTGGAAATATAAGAAAAATAAGATGCAAATAATAAATCTACGGCGTGACACGTGTATATGTAGACGATGAGTGAGTGAGGCAACATTACCTTATGTCCTGATGGTATACAATGAGTGAGTGAGGCAGTCTTGCTTCGTGCCCTGGCGGTATACGATGAGTGAGTGAGGCAGTATTACCTCATGCCCTGACGGTATACGATGAGTGAGTGAGGCAATATTACCTTATGTCCTGATGGTATACAATGAGTTAGTGAGGCGGTCTTGCTTCGTGCCCTGGCGGTATACGATGAGTGAGTGAGGCAGTATTACCTCATGCCCTGGCGGTATACGATGAGTGGGTGAGGCAGTCCTGCTTCGTGCCCTGATCGTGTACGACAGACCAAGGTTGCAGAGTGTGTTTACATACAACGTAACAGGAGATGATAAATAAACATCAAGTGGGTCAAGTGGAGAAAATGGATACCAGACAATACACGTAGCAACATCAAGTCAGATGACCTCTTGTCGGGGACTACTCAGATACCAACTGAACTGTGCGTATCTTCACACATCCGTGTGGCAAGGAAGTGGCTGGTCAGGTGTGTGAACGATGGTGTTTAAGGAGGCAGTGACACATCCTCGATTATCCGGGGCATTATACCTCCATTCTACGTGACACGGTGGGTAACCGATGGTACCACTGGCGGTTGGGTAGCCTAGTGGTTAAAGCGTTCGCTCGTCACGCGAAGGTCCGGGTTCGATTCCCCACATGGGTACAATGTGTGAAGCCCATTTTTGCTGTAATCCCCTCGTGATATAGGTGGAATATTGCTAAAAGCGGCTTAAGATACAAATCACATCAGTGAACATGACACGCTGGGTAAACGAGGTCACAACTGGCCACAGAAACGACTTTGGGGTTGTACAAATTGGGTTGAAAAGAGCCAGATCACAAGATACAAAAAGCATCTAAAAGTTTTACGAACAGATGAAATATTTCAAGAGATTATGGGAAACAGGAAGGACAATACACCATACTTATACCTTCAAGTACACATCAATATCACTTGAAACGCAATGCATGCAACACAGAAAGAAATACCATAATACAGGTAAACTGTCTGCATCCTCCCCAAATATGCATAGTGGTCACTGGAAGTCCAATAACCTTGACCGCCACGAACACAGTTACTAGTTACGGATTTCACCGAGTCGTAGACTGAAATGAAGGCCGAGGCTCGTTTGTTTACAAACAAAGTGCTGGAGTTGACATTCTTTCATGGAATATAGAGGGTCTACGTAAACATGAGCAATGTGGATCTCCTCTTAAGAACTACTGCAATAAGTTCGACGTAATCGGATTCTAAGAATCGTTTTTACGATCAGCAAGTGAGTTCACTGATTTTTTGCCAGGCTACTTATTGTTTTCAACAGTGTACGTCAGAAAGTCAGACGACTTGGCAAGTATAGCGGTGGTGTAACTGTCGTCATAAAGTGAGGTGAGGTGAGGTGAGGTGAGGTGAAATTGGGTTTAATGTCGTGCTTAAGAATATTTCGCTCATATGACCACGTATATGCGTGTGTATGTGTATGTGCGCCTGCTTGTACTAGCCCAGACTTAAGCTGGTTTTATAGTCCTAGCCCACTGGGATACCATGCCGCAGTGAAGCATGAATAACCCACTCAGACACATTCTACTGACTCCGAGCCGATCAGTCCTTGTTGTACCCATTAATGCCGAGCGCCAGGCAGGGACCAACAACCCAGATAGCATTCAGGCAATGTTGGCAAAACCATTGCTAACGTTGGGCCAACGTCCGCATGCTATCTGGGAAGTACCATATTTTAACGTCTTTTGGTATGACGCGGTCGGGGATCGAACCCGCGACCTTCCACTCTCCGGGCGGACGCTCTAACCACTACACCACGGAGGCGGTCGTCATAAAGTCATGCCTAGTTGAAGATGGGTATTGTAAACGTCTTTATGAACATTTTAAGGACTGTATAGTGATTCTACTACATTCGTCACGGTTAGACTGGGATCGAGACATTATTTTACTCTTCAAGTATATATCACCTGAAAACTCTGAGACTCCTACATATAATGATGATGATAAAGATGATATATCTGTATTGGAAGGCTACATATCAACTATACGTTGTGATTATCCTGTAGACCATATACTTTTGTCTGGAGACCTCAATGCCAGGATGAAGGATTTCCTCGACTACATCCCTGGTGACAATTTAGATTGCATTTTTTGGATTCAGCAGACTATCCCAGTGATGAGTTTGATACTCCACGAACAAGCAGACACAATATTCAATTTCAAAATAATTATGGCATTAAATTGTCCATACCTTTAACGACCGGCTCCATAATGATAAATCTGGGGAGTTTACTTGTATCACTCACAATGGCTCCAGTGTTGTGGACTATATGACTGGAAGCTCTTCATTATTCCACAAGGTTAGAAATTTTGGGATAGGTACTCTGGACCTCTCTTGTCATTTCCCCCTCTACTGCACTCTCGATATTTCATGTGCTCTGTCTAACTCTGAATGTACCACAACTTCTAATACAGATGCTAATCAGCAGGCCACTACTGAGGAGGATTCATGGGTTAGATATGTGTGGTCTAAGGTCAGTAATAGTCAGTTTGCAACACAGTTTCACAACAAATTTTAGATATGTCTGTTACACTAACTGACCTTGTGTATACCAATATTGATTAAGCAGTTAATCTCTAAATCTCTTAGTTAGACTGATGCAACAAAGTGCTTCCCATACTAGGAGTGTGTATTGTAGGTTTGATAAGCACAGGCACAGATCCCAGCCCCCCTGGTGGGATGCAGAGCTGGAACAACTAAAACACGATAAATATTCTGCATTGCGTGCACACAAAGACAATAATCAGGACTTGGATATATTTCGACAACTACAAAAACTATTAAAAAAGACATTCATAACCAAAAAGGGGAATTATCAGTGTAAGCAAAGACAGAAACTAGTGGATTCCTGCAGTGACTCGAGCCAACTCGAGCCAATAACAGAATGTGTGACAGTCTTCCCTGATCTATCTCAAGTAATCAGTGGTTTGATCACTTTCTATCATTACTTGGTGTTGACCAGCCTGATGTTTACCTATTGTTTCACCACATGTTGTAAATGTTACTGATGTGTAAACACTTAATGCTGCTATTACTGAGCAGGAAGTTTGTTGCACATTTTACATTCTCCTAACAATAAGTCCCCTGGACCTGATGGTATATCAAATGAGTTTCTTAAAGCATCAAGTGCCTCAATTGTAGCTTGTCCTACAGTACTATTTATTTAATAGTGGTAATTTTCCATGTGGTTGGGGCAAGAGTATCATATACCCTCTGTTCACATCTGGCTGTAAAAGTAACCCAAATAATTATAGGGGTATATCTCCTATTGATTCTATTTGTACAATTTTCCTATATTTTGAATAAGCGTTAAAAATCATGGTGCGATGCACATGAAATTATTAATGAGTCCCAGACAGGCTTCAGAGCAGGGTACTCCACAATTGATCATATTTTCTCTCTTCAGGCTTTAGCCCCAAAATATTCTGGTAAAAAGAGAGGTAGATTTTATTGCCTTTTTATTGATTTCTCAAAGGCTTTTGACACAATAAAACATTATGTTCTCTTGCAATCTTTAGCTGAAGTTGGTATTTCTGGTAAATTTTATAATATAATATCATCAGTGTACAGCAGTTTATCTGCATGTGTTAGAACCTTTAACGGGTTTATCTAAGTGTTTTACATGTAATATTGGTACCCGTCAGGGTTGTGTGTTAAACCCACAGCTGTTTATCATATTTATAAATAAGTTGTTTTCCTTAATGGAAAAGGAAGGTGGTATAGGTGTTAATGTTTCACCTGATTTTAACAATTTGTGTTCACTTATGTTTGCTGATGATGTTTCTGCACTTTCTGATGCATGTAATCAGTTACAACAGAAGATAATGCTCTTGAATGTTTCTGTAAACAACCTGGAATGTCAGTTAATCTTAGTAAAACAAAAGTTCTTGTTTTTAGAAATGGTGGGCCATTACGGGAATATGAAAAGTAGTTCTATAATGGTAATCCTATTGAAACTGTATCCTTTTATAAATATCTAGGACTTGTATTTACACCAAATCTTGTATGGAGTACAGCGCAAAGCTGTCTAGTATCTCAAGCTAACAAGTCAATATTTTCTGTAAATGGTTTTCAAAAAAAGATGGGAAGAGTAAATTGTAAAGACTTGTTTAAGATTTTTGACTGTATGCTTTCACCTATTTTGTGTTATGGGTCTGAGATTTGGGGTACTAACTATTGTAACATCGAGTCTGTTCAGGTACAATTTTGTAAATATTTCTTGAAAGTTGGTAAATCTAGCTGTAATAACATGGCTCTTGGTGATTGTGGCAGACTTCCTCTACAAATTACTTATATGACTAAAGTAATTGAATACTGGTTTCACTTATTGCATATGCCTTATAATAGACTGCCAAAACATTGTTATATTATGCTCAAGTCCTTAGATGATGTTGACCGAACTACTTTGGCAACTTGTGTCAAAATATTTTATTTAAGTATGGTTTTGGCTATGCATGGATCAGTCAGGATGTTGGCAATGTTGATTATTTCATATCCTTGTTTAAGCTGAGACTTTCGGATAATCTTAAACAATGTTGGTCCACTTCAATTCAAAATCTAATAAGTGTAATTGCTCCCAATTTAAGACATTTTTAAATTTTGAAGGTATTTAAGTTATGATATTCCTTCACATATCAGATCTGCACTCTCTAAATTTAGATGTGGTAATTTTAATTTAGCTGTTGAAGCTGGAATATACAATAAAGTTAATTACAATGAGAGATTATGTTTATTTTGTAACTTGGATGACAGAAATGTTATTGAAGATGAATTCCATGTACTCATTAAGTGTGAACGTTTTTCTGATTTAAGGTTAAGATATATTCAGAAATATTTGGCCGATTTTGATCCAAATGCCAATTTTATTAACATAATGAAAACGCATAATGATTGTATCATAAGAG